CCCCAAAACCCCAAAACCCCAAAACCCCATATTGCAATTTTAATTAGTTCAAGTAATTCTTGAGAGAAAAAAATCATGTAAAATACTTATACTGATAGTTTTAAGGCTAAAAAACTTATTGATACTTAACAATAAAATTAAATAGATATAGACAAGATATGGTCTCAACTACATCCTCCGCCAAGATGGAATACAGATACCTCGGTAACTCAGGCCTTAAAGTCTCAGTTTTCTCATTCGGAAACTGGCTTAACTCAAACAAGCAAGAAGACTACGAAATTACAAGAGATGCAATGAAGATATGCTATGACAATGGCATTAACTTTTTTGATACTGCTGAGATCTACGGTGCTGGTAGTGCTGAGAATCAAATGGGAAGAGCTTTCAAGGAACTAGGCTACAGAAGAGAAGACCTTGTAGTCTCTACTAAAATCTTCAAATGTGGAGGTGGAATTAATGATACCTTCCTGTCTAGAAAGCACATTGTTGAGGGTCTTAGAAATTCCCTCAAGAGATTGCAAATGGACTACGTGGATATTGTTTACTGCCACAGACCAGACTACGACACTCCCCTTGAAGAAACCGTCAGAGCCATGAGTTATGTGATTGATCAAGGCATGGCATTTTACTGGGGAACCTCAGAGTGGCCAGCAGATAGAATCTCAAAGGCGATCGAGCTTTGTGAGAGATTGAATCTTCACAAGCCAGTTGTTGAATAGCCTCAATATAGTATGCTTTTCAGAACTGCATTCGAAAAGGACTACAGAAGAGTTTTTGGTGAGTACGGATACGGTAGCACAATCTGGTCACCTCTCGCTGGTGGACTCCTCGCTGGAAAGTACAACACAGGTACCATTCCAGAGGGAAGCAGATATGCTGTTCACTAAGGTCTGGAAGCAGTCTCAGTCTGGAACTAAACGATGTCAGAAGACAAAAGGGAAGGCACCTTAACAAAACTCAGAGCCCTTGGTGAGCTAGCAAAGGAACTTGGCTTCACCCAAGCCTAGCTAGCATTAGCTTGGACAATTGCAAACAGAGATGTCTCAACCTGTATCCTTGGATTCACTAGACTAGAACAAGTTGCTGAGAATCTCAAGGCTATTGAGCTGTACTAGCAATGGAATGCTGACATTGAAAAGAAAGTAAGAGATATTCTTGGAAATGATCCAGAAAGTGACATGGACTGGAGAAAATGGGCCCCTCAACCATCAAGAAGAGATTAGGCTGTAAGATATTGACTCATTGAGATCCTAACTATTAAAGATGCCAAAAATCTATCTTGATTTAATTTTTTAAACTTAATATCATCACTTTATTCCTTACATCATCTTATTAATTATGTAATTAAAATAATTTATGAAAAGTACTCAATTTATCAATCTTTTTAACTTTAAAACAAATCTCAATTATTTTTCATTCTTCACTTTTCCAGTAAATTACATTTTTAAATATATGCATAAATTCAATTCTATGATTACTTCTAATATTAACTCTCATGGGGTTTTGGGGTTTTGGGGTTTTGGGGAACAGGTATACAGATGTACT